AGATATGATATCTAGACATAATAGGTGTGATAGATATATCAATTACATGTAGACATAACAGAAATGCTATACAAGAAAATGTGAGTAAATCTGTTCACTAAAAGAAAAAAAGATACAAAGAATACCTTCAAAAACTCTTTTTTTAGGAGTTGGAAATTTTATGAGAATTTTATTCTTCAAGTATAGGTCAAGTGTGGTGATATATCATTCCTTTACTTAAAGCTCTCCAATGCTTTCTACTGAAATTGATAAAATCGGACTCCTGCCTGCTTCATCTCCTACCACTCTCACCCTCACTCACAACGGCCAGTCTTGCTGGCCTTCCCCATGTAACACCTGTTTGCTGTCTTTCTGCCTAAAATGCCCTTCTCATACCCAGGTCCTTGTCATCATTCAGGGCCACCTCCCTAAAATGGCCTGTAACAATGACCCAATCTGCCCAGTCACTTGCTATGCCATTACCCTGTTTTAATTTAATATTTTTTTTTTTTATTTTTTAAGTCAGAGAGAGAGAACACGTGTGCCCGCACTAGCAGGGGAGCAACAGGCAGAGGGAGAAGCAGGCTCCTCACTGGGCAAGGAGGCCCATGTAGGACTCAATCCCAGGACCCTGGGACCATGAACTGAGCTGTAGGCAGATACTTAACCGACTGAGCGACCCAGGTGTCCCAATTCCTTAGTATTGTTACCTGAAATCACTTTTGTGCATTTTTAAATTGTCCTCCCTCCATACGAGTGTAAGCTCCGTAAGAGCAGGAACATGGTCTTTTTTACTGCTCTATAGGAAATGCCCAGCAATTGTTAGAATGAGCAAGTGAATACAGTGAGGAGCAGCTGGTTACAGCTGTTATCTTAGGTCAAAGGACCACACAACAGAAAAGACCAGGTCAGGCAGAGACCAAAGCATTGGCAGCATGTTCAGTTTCAGTGATGTGTACTGCTCAGCCTGGTTCACAGTAATAGCAGGCAGAGAACACAAACGGACCAAGGAGGAGACTGTCCGCCCACCTTAGCTGAGTCACTGATAACCTTGCCAGGCCCCAATACACTTGGCAAAACTAGTACTAAAATTTAACTGAAACAAACAAAAAACTGTTATTAGTACAGACAATTCTCATGATGCAAATGATGTGTGTTCAGTAAGTTACATATTTTAAAAACTCATTCAAGGAACCTAATTACTACTCTAGAAGGCCTGGTAAATACCTGTTAGGGAATGAATCATACCTTCAAAGTTAGGCCAATAACAGTTCATATATATAGTCTGGATGCACACAATTTGCATCTCTTCCCTCAAAAAGTCAAGTGTCGGGGCGCCTGGGTGGCTCAGTGGGTTAAGCCTCTGCCTTCGGTTCAGGTCATGATCTCAGGGTCCTGGGTTCGAGCCCCGCATCGGGCTCTGCTCAGCAGGGAGCCTGCTTCTCCCCCTCTCTCTCTGCCTGCCTCTCTGCCTGCTTGTGATCTCTCTCTCTCCGTCAAATAAATAAATAAATCTTTAAAAAAAAAAAAAAAAAAGTCAAGTGTCTACAAACTGTTTTTTTAATTTAAGAGAGCATGTCCAGAAGAAATTGCTGAGAAAACTTCACCTAAGTGTCTCATCCTTTTTTTGCAGAAGGTACAATGTGGGGGGAGGGGGCAACCAGGGTGTAAGAAAGCCAGAAATCCAAGAGTCAACTGTCAGATTTCAACCAGAAAGGAAAATGCAAATTAACCCTGCAGTAATGTCATTAGGTAGCCTGAGATTTGACTTAGCCCCTTAAAAAAAACAAGATAGCATTTCTTTTATGCACCTCCAGGTTAAATGACAATGTGCAAATGTTATCTCCCTCAAACCATGCACTACAGTAGATAGAGGCTTGCCAGAGATCAAGGAAGCTTCAGAACTGAAGATGACTGCATTGGAGGGGCTTACTAAAAGGGCTGGGGAGTGTGTATCTTTGGAAAGCAGTGAGAGCTGGACTGGAATAAAAAATCATGTAGAAAGGTTTCAGGAGTGGCTCTGGAAAAAGAAGAATGCAGCAGTCATCTGGCAACAGAATGGAGAATGGATAAAAACTCATTTATCAATACACACTATGTAATAATTAGGACACATAGGAGCACAAGAAGGGAGCAGCCAGTCGTCCTTTTAGCTACAAAATTTCTACCACAAATATTAATTTGGGCTCCAAGATCCTTTTTTTTTTAAATTAAGAAGACTCTATGCCCAACATGGAGCCCAACTCAGGGCCTGAACTCACAACCTTGAGATTAAGACCAGAGCTGAGATCAGGAGTTGGATGCTCAACCAACTGAGCCACTCAGGCACAGGCTCCAAGATCTTAATAGCTTTTTACTTTTTTTCACAATCATGTGTTTTATTTTATTGGGGGGAGAAGGGGGCAGAGAAGGAATCTTAGGCAGGCTCCACGCCCATGCAAAACCCAATATGGGATTCAATTCCACAACCCTGAGATCATGAACATGTTCAAGTCAAACACTTAGCTGACTTAGCAACCCAAGTGCCCCCACAATCATGTGTTTTAATTTGCAGGTACGACAATACAAACCCCCCTCCCAATATATAGAGAAGTATGATAGCTATATTAAAAATAGTAGTAGAAAGCCCTGCATCTACACAGAATCTAGCAGTATGGCCCAAAAGAACAGAAATCAATTTCAAATTTCAGCTCTAACAAGAATTGTGTCCTCAACATATGGTTTATTTTAGGCCTGGTCCATATCAACTGACAATGTTTACTATGTAATAAACACTTCAGATGTGAAAGCATCTCAAAATACTAACAACTTCTGGGGAGGCTACCGGTCTGCTGAAAACTGAAGCTCTGTGTTCGGAGGACTTCCACAGAAACAATTACTCAGAAAAAAGACCAAGGCCAAAGAAGCATCATATACTATTAGGTAATAGTTGATATTTTTGTCTTTACTGCTAGTCTCTGCTCACACATTACTATAATCACTTAACATATATTTGTTTTGAAATACTTAGGTTAGAGGAAAGTTATCTTTCATGTTTATAAAATATCCTCCTGGGTGCTTGTTATAAAAACAAATGTTTTCTTCTAGTGTCTTTGATGTATACCAATTCAACATCTCTTTTTCTTTAGGATAAATGTATTCTAGCAAAGTCTACTACGAAGTAAAATTTTATAAAGCCAACTCCAATAAATTACCTTGGAAAATTGAGATGTATTCCCATAGAGGAGGAAGGATTATGTGTAATAGGAGAAATTTAAGTTATTTGGGGAGCAAAGTTCCTATGGAGCCAAATACTTGTGGCTCTACATGTTATCATTTGCTTCCCTCTGGCAATGCCTAATACTTTTGTCATTCCAACTAATACTCTGAACTTTAAGGGTGTCTCCCAATCTTGAAAATGTCTTAATTCTACCCTCAATGTTCCCAGAACTCTGTATCCCTTTCTAAGACAGTCTGAGTCACTGACCTACCCAAGCAGCACAATCCAGCTGCCTTCATCTCACCCAGTGATCTCCAGCACCAGGATCTGAGCCTAAAGCTTCATATTATACAAATAAAAACCATGTCTTATACAAATGGCCAAAAGACACATGAGAAAATGCTCCATATCACTTGGCATCAGGGAAATACAAATCAAAACCACAATGAGATACCACCTCACACCTGTCAGAATGGCTGAAATAAACAAGTCAGGAAACAACAGATGGGGGTGAGGATACAGAGAAAGGGAAACACTCTTACACTGTTGGTGGGAATGCAAGCTGGTGCAGCTCCCCTGGAAAACCATATGGAGATTCCTCAAAAAGTTGCAAATAGAGCTATCCACAACCCAGCAACTGCACTACTGGGTGTTTACCCGAAAGATACAAATGTAGTGATCCGAAGAGGCACCTGAACCCCAATGCTTATAGCAGCAATGTCCACAATAGCCAAACTATATGTCCTTCGACAGACGAATGGGTAAAGATGTGGAAAATGTGCACACATGTGCACACACGCGCACACAACCTGCCACAATGGAATAACACACAGCCATAAAAAAATGAAATCTGGGACGCCTGGGTGGCTCAGTTGGTTAAGCAGCTGCCTTTGACTCAGGTCATGATCCCAGCGTCCTGGGATCGAGTCCCGCATCGGGCTCCTTGCTCATCGGGGAGCCTGCTTCTCCCTCTGCCTCTGCCTGCCGTTCCGTCTGCGTGTGCTTGCTCGCTCGCTCTCTCTCTCTCTCTCTCTCTCTGACAAATAAATAAAATCTTTAA